AGAGAAAGAGAAAGAGAAAGAGAGACAGAGGCAGAGATAGAGACAGAGAGACAGAGAGAGACAGAGACAGAGAGACAGAGACACACACACAGAGACACAGAGAGAGACAGGTGGAGAGACAGACAGACAGAGACAGGACAGAGAACACTCACCCAGGACTCAGACATAGGACATAGGCACAGCAAATAGAACAAGACCCAGCAAGTGAAAAGTCAAACTTTCAAATGCTGTTAACTAGAGAAGGTGTTGAAGACAGCTGGATTTCACAGTTTTTAATGTTTTGCACCAACTGAATGAAGGGAACACAGATTAATGGGATTGAGGATCCCCTGAAGTTTTGAAAAGAACATGTTTTTGTGGAGACTGTGGGGGAAAACACACACAAAGGGATGGAGACAATAAGGGCAGTGAGGCAGGCAAACATGCACCCATCCTGAGAAGGTGGAGAGGGATGGAGAGACTGGAGTCAGGATTTGTTTAGGAAAGACGGGGCAATGGAGGGTGCACCTCTCTGACCCAGGTTGGGATCTCACTGAAGTCTTTTTGAACAGCAGTTGTTTCATTCATTGTATACATGACCTCAGCACCTAGCACAAGGCCTTGAACATGGCAGGGGTTTAATAGACAGCTGTTGATTGTTTATTTGGTCTCAATTCCTCTGAGCTCATCCACTATTCCCACTATCAGCATATCACTACATAGTGCAGCTAGCACTCTCAATATCCAGAAAGTCAGTTGATCAATTAGCAAACATTTATTAGGCACTTACTGTGTCCCAGACACAGTGATAATAATAGCTAGCATTTATATAGATGTATACTTATATACATGTACATATCTATATAAATATATATTTATATCTATATGTCTACAAGTATATATAGATATTTATATGTCTATAGATATATACGTATATGGAGGCAACTAGGTGGCTCAGTGGATAGAGCAGTGAACCTGGAGTCTGAAAGACCTGAATTCAAATTCAGTCCCAGATACTTATTAGCTATGTGACCCTGGACAAGTCATTTTATCTCTGTTTGCCTCAATCCACTGGAGAAGGAAATGGCAAACCACCACAGTATCTTTGCCAAGACAATCCCATGGACAGTATTGGCATGCTATGGCCCTTGGGTTCATGAAGATTT